CTGTGCAGCTGGATGGGGGCCTGGTTACCCCCCCCCACACACACACGTAGCTGAATTAGGCTCTGCTGTGCCTGCCCTGGACACCAGATTGTGTCTACCAGCCAGATCGGGCCCACAGAGGGATTGGCACTGCCCATCTGGCCCTCCAGATAAAATGTTTGAGCACCACTGGTCTATTTAGAACAGTGAAGAAGTTCTTCCATGTATTCAGTCTAAACCTACTTTGCTGCAACTTCAAGCCATTTCCTGCTCTCTACAGCGAGAGAGAAAAGGTGCTCTCCCTTTGTGGCAGCCCTTCAGATATCTGAAGGCTGCAATCTTGTCCCCTCTTAATTGTCTTTTCTACAAGCTGAGCTCACGCCTCTGATCGGTACCGGAGCATGGCTTCCAAGCAAACCCATTGCCTTTGAAACCCTTGGCCATCCCCACACTGTGGGAGGGGATTGTGGGGCTTCAGGCCTGACACCACAGAGCCCCTTCCTACCCCCTTTTCCTTTCATAAATCAAGCAACCTGGACTGGCTCAGAGACAAGGGGTGATTGTTTGCTTTGAAAGGGGGAGTGCTCAGCCGGTTTGCTCTGGGAGGGAGAGGTCTTTATGAGCAGATGTGCTGAACCTCATCCATCCAGGGAAGGCGGTAAGTCAGGGGCTTCCCTGACCACCCCCTCCCACACCTATCACAGGTGCAAGGCTCATACTCCCTACATTGTTTTGTTGGCATGAGTCCCAAACCCAGTGCATTCTGGGACATCTGCGGCATGTGGGCAGGAGAGAAGCTCTCTGGGTGGATAGCATGGGGGCTGAGCTGACTGAGCAGGTGATGGTGAAAGGAATTGGCATGTTGGCAACAACTCTGTGGTTGCAACAGGCCCAGCCTCCTGTGCTGAACCCCCAGGTACCCCTGGCCAGCAGACTCTGTCCCATGGCTACTCAGCTGAGTCACCTGGTCCTCAAGCCCTGAGCCAAGGCATGCTGTTGCTGGCCCAGGCAAGGTGTGTCTGCCTATGTCGGGCTCTTCAGCCCTGCCCATGGCCTGAGAAAAGCTGCTTTGGCTCTCGGTATGAGGACTAGGTTCCCTGTGACCCCAGAGTGGCCTGGGCATGAGCTTGGCAGGGGACATGCTTCTCCCTGCCAAGGGCTGTCTGTGTGGCGGTGGCACCTCACAGGGATGAGACTTCCCCCAAGGCAAGCAGGCTGAGGCTCCCCTGCACAGACTGAATTGAAAGAGCACTGCCTCAGCATGAGGGCCATGGAGCTGTGCATCTGCCTCCTGGGAACTGAGGACAATAGGACAGACAGAAGACGTGTTAGGCCTGGGAGGAATTGTCCATTAACCCTATTAAAATCCAAAGAATTCATGATCTGATAGAAAAAGAGTGACCCAGACTCCTTAAGGCCAGGATGGATGGATGGACTTGGGGTGATCTTAGGCAAGTCACTGCCCCTCTCTGGACCTGTTTCTCCCTCTGTATGTTGGTGATCATTCTCTCTCTGTGGTGGCTACTAGCCAGAGAAAGGTGCTCACATGTGGTAGTGGAGGCCAACATTTGTAAGTGGGGTTTGCTGTGGTTTGGTGCCCCTGGTTCCATAGGGCCTGTGGTCATGGCACCATGTGTGCTTCTGAGCTGCTGTTATGTCATGGCACAGCATCATGGAGCTGGGACTGCAGCTAATCACACAAATCTCAGCTCCAGCCGAAATCAAGACCCCATAGGTGCTGTTCAGACAGAAAATGAGAGACAGCTCCTCCCCTGAGGAGCTCATGACCTAAACAGAAAAGGCAGATGAAGGGTGGGTTGAAGCCTAGTTTGACAATGTGGAAACTGAGGCACAGGGAGATGAAGTGACTTGACCACTGTCGCCCAGCAGGTCAGTGGCAGAGCCAGGATTAGAATCTAGCTCCCTTTGTCTGTCCCAGCCCAGTGCTCAAACCCTCAATGGGGTCCCCAACTCTGCCCCAGACTCAGTTGAGTGCTACTGGAAAAGCAGCTCTGGTTTGTGAGGTCCCAGGGGACATGGAACAAGCAGCAGGAGTGTCTTGGATCAGGCGAAACTGAGGGCCAGCACAATTGGCCCCGCTTGCTACTCTGTTTCCATCTGGCTTCCTTCTGGCAGTGCTGAGCCTGGCTCAGCCATCAGGGCGAAAGGGCATCTAAACAACCAGCTCAGGCCTGTTTATCTTTCTGGGAGGCTTAGCAGGGTGATGACAATCCCTGACAGCCCTGGGACCTCTGTTTATTCAACAGTTCTGCTTGGGTAAGCCATGGGTTGGAGATTTGGCCCCTAGCTACACAGCCCAGGAGGGATCAACAGATAGAAAGGAGGGATCCCACCTCCTCCCCCCGTCCCATCCCACTGGTGTTGGCCAGTGCCCTGCAGGGACTCCCCAGGGATTCCAGCTTCTGTCCTTGTCTGGTGACTTGGCCTGATCTAGGTGGGTATCTCTGTCTCCCAATCTTGGCCCCCTTCCAGCTGTGCTAGCTCCCCTCTCACACAGGCTGTCAGTGCCCCTCATTTCCGACCCACAGCCCCTGCCTGTCACAGCCCTGAGCCCCTCCCAGTTAAAACTTGGTTTCCTACCTGCCAGTGGTAGCTGTAGTGCAGGATTTGTTTTGCAAGAGAGATGCACAGTGGCTGTGTAGCTGCAGCCAGCTTCTGATTTCAAGAGAGTAGCTGACCCCATACGTTTTGAAACCCCTCCAACAGCCTTGCATTGTGGTTTGGTGGGTTTGCCAAGCTTTGGTGGTGAGGAGCCTAAAAATGGGATAACAGGGGGCTGCAAGTCAGGCTGGAGGACACTGGCAGAGCTGGGGAAAGGAGGCCTCTGGATAGCAACATCAGGTCAGGTAACTGCTGGTGGAACTGTTTCAGGGGTTTGCCCAGCCATTCCCTCTTCTTGTTAACAGTGCTCACTTGTCATGAGAGCTAGAGGTCTCACTCTTAGCAGCACAAGGATCTCTAAGCAACCCTTGGGCAGGGTGTCCTGCAGGGGCCAGCCCTGACCATACCCCTGACATATCAATGAGCTGCCTGCAGCCATCCTTGCAAGAGCTATGAGGTGGCAGCAACAGCTAAGACTGGGTCTGTTTGCATTGACCCAGCCCAGCCCACAGCTGGCTCACTTTCACTCCCCATTACCATTCTCCATTAACAGGCAGGCAAAAAAGACAGTGGGGCCCCAGGAGTTGGGAATGCAGCTGAGTGTCCAGTGCCTCCAGGGACATTGTCATCACTCTTAGATTCTTCTTCTTCTCTGAACCAAAACACTGACTAACACGTGCTGTGGCCAGCGCCTGCTGGTAATGGCTATTCCAGATGGGTAGGTGCCTGCCGCCCACAAGGCATGAAGCTGAGGTGACTCAGGGGGAGGATGCAAACAATATTGCCCACAGCATGGATGCAGTGAGTCAGCACAGCAGGAGTGTTCACTCCAGCTGGGGGGAGGCTCCCAGGTTCTCCAGCCCCTGTTGCTCCCATCATGGAGTGCTGCAGAAGGCTGGATGGGAGCACTGGCTCTATGGGGCTCCCAGCAGAGTGCTGTTTCTACAAGGTGGAGCCTCCTCCTTTCAATATCTTCAGAGAAGTTAGGGGAAAAGAGTGAACGTGAAGTCCTGAGACCTGGAATGGGATCTGGGGGTGGCCCTGGAAAGAAAAGAAACAGATTTTATTGCTCAGGCTGCCCTGGCCTGTGGGGGCCTCAGGCCCTGGGCTATTCCTCACTGGGGCTCATCCCAGCTCACACCTGTGGCATCCCCTGTTGAACTAGGATACATCACTGAGATAAGGACTGGGAATGGGATAGGGGACTGAAGGCACTGGCGTAAGCAGAACGGCCCAACTGCCTGGCAGGATTTGGCCTTTCATGGACAATTTCTGGGCCCTCTATGACATACAGCACCCTATGGCTCTGTTTGCTGGTTCATTAGCTCCCACAACACTACAGGGGCTGCTTCCTTCTTTGGGGCAACACAAGCTCCAGCCCTCCAACTGATGGCACCCTGGGGGTAGAGGGGCTCAGACCAGAGCCTGCCCCACATCCCAGCTCCCCTGCACCTTGGTGCAAAGCAGGAGGCAGATAAGGTGCTGGGGAGCCTCCAAGCCACCTGTCTCCTTGACAGAAGCCATGAGCCAGTGGACTGGTCCCCTGGGGGCTGCTATCAGGGAAAGTGGGGGCGGTGCAGCCCCCATCCCATATTTCCTGCCCATTAATCAAGGGAGTGATGTGGAAGCCACAGCTCTGCAGGCTGAGCTGTTTCAGACATTTCAAATATTAGTAGGTCTTAATGGGCTAGATGGAGCCATCTATCAGCCAGGCGGACAGACACGAGCTCCCAGCTGCCCGGAGCAGGTTGGGGGGAGGGGGAGGGGGTGGGGAGAGGCTGAGGCACAGAGCTCGTCTCACCCGAGAATGCGCTTGTCTATGGGGGCTTGTGTCTGGGTCCATGAGGGGTGCCCCCCGCAGCACCTCCTGCTGGGAGAGGCTGGGGCTGGAGTAACCAGGGCTCCCCACAGCCAGTGCCACATAAGACTTTTGAACAATTGAAAGGGTTTGGAACTGATCTGGCTAATTTGACTTGGTACGTGAAAAATTTTCCAGAAAAAGAAAAAAAAAGGTGCCAGTGTTCCTAGGAACTTTCTTTGGTACCAGCACAAGCCCCATCCCCCGCAGATGGCAAGGGTGGATCCCAGACCTGGGACCTTATGTTCCCAGCGCCAGGACAGAAGGACAGGGCATCTGTCTGGAGCCTCATCCTCAGCTATCCAGCCTGAAGCTAGCAGGAAGGTGGGGGGAATTCAGAGCAAAATTAAGTCCTCCAATAGCAGTAGGAAAGGCAGAGACCCCACCACTCCCACCTCCATCCTGTCCTTGTAACCTGACCCCCACCTCCATCCTGTCCCCTGCACCTCCTCAAGAGCTTGAGCTGCTGTTCCAGCCCCAGTGAGCTCTCACCACACAGCCAAGCCTGTTAGCAGGGCTCCCACGTGCTCTGGCATCCCAGCAATGTCCGTGCCAGAGCCCAAGCTCTGGGAAAGCACTTACCCAGCAATGCCAGCCCACGCAGGGCAGGGAAGGGCCCCTGAGACCAGCCACCTGCCAGGCCTTGCATAGTAAGGGATCCCATTCCCCCCACACCATTTCACTGCCTCCTGGTCCCAACAACCCCATGAGACGATAGCATCTGAAGGGGCTGCAGACAGTCTGACAGTGCCCAGACAGAAGTGGGGAAAGCTGTCTCTTCCTTAAGGCCCCTCAGTTCAGACCCACAGCTCCCTGCCCTTCCCCATCCCTGGGTATGGTCCTCGACTGTGATAGTCACTGTGTGGATAGGCCCCCACAGCATCCTGCTCAATGTCACAGTTCCTCTTATTGGGCTGTTGAGCCCACCTGGGACTAGACCCCCCACAGGAGGTGGGCACTGAAGCAGACCAGTCTCTGCCTGGTTTGGGCTATCAGAGGTGTTGAGGAGAGGAGCCATAGCAGGTGGGAGTGGAGAGTGTGCCCTGCTGTCCAGCTCTGTGTACTCTCTGCCCTCTTGTTTTGCAGGCTGAGTGCATGAACTTCATCAAGATCCTGCATCTCTACAACCGCACTCATCTGTATGCCTGTGGCACGGGCGCCTTCCATCCCACCTGTGCCTTTGTGGAAGTGGGGCAGCGCATGGAGGTGAGGGCCAGCAGATACTGACTGGCACAGTATCTGCCTGTGCAGGGGAATGTCATGGGCCAAACACCAGGGCCCAGGCATTCCCAACCCTCCACCCCACCCGCCCAGCTGCAAGCCTGCAGGACACACTGGGACTTTCTCTGCACTGGGACTCAGGAGGGTCCTGTGAGCTGCTCAGCCCTGCCAGCACCACATTCCCCCCGCCCCCCCCCACCCCTCCCTGCACACACACACTCATATTCTTTTTCCTCCTTCCCAGGACCCTGTCTTTAAACTGGACCCTGCGGCCACAGAGGATGGCAAAGGGAAGAGCCCCTATGACCCCCGGCATGTGGCCGCCTCAGTGCTCGTGGGTATGGAGACAGGGCTGGAAACCATTGCACAGAGGCTCCACATCACCAGCCTTTGGAGAGTCCCTGTTCCACCCCCCTTCCCTACATTGCCCCCTGCTGAGAGAGCTGGGGGGGCACAGGGTACAGCTGTTTCATGCCCACTGTAGAATGCCTGGAGCATAATGCCTAGAGTTCACCAAGAGAGAGCAAAAAGCCCAGTTCTGTGTGTCACTTTCCTGGGACTGTCCTAGCCAAGGAACTAAAGTCCCTGAGCTCACTCAAAGGCCAAGGCTGGAGGGGGATGGGGACCAGACACTGTGCCCGGTGTGGGGTCCACCTGTGCAGCTAGTGCTTTCCTGGAACTTAAGATCACTGCCACCCACAGCCTCAAGGCCTTGCTTCTGGCTCTAGAACTGATTTTCTGGGGATTTGCTTCCGCTTCTTTCCCTAGGGGGCACCTTGTACATCACTCTGGGTGCCTATACACGTGCACTGAGGCTGCTCTGACACACTGTAATTATAGCACATCAGAGCAGACTCACTTAATGAAGTCTGCTGGAGCATGGTAATTACCACGCTGCAGCAAACTCCAGCGTCGCATGTATCAGTGTCCCCACACTGAAAAATGGCAGTGGGCTCGCTTTAACTAAAGCTCCCCCACCTCCATTTTTCAGCGCAGGGAGGCTAATACACATGATGCTCCAAGTGCTTTAATTAATTAAAGTGTCCCCCCCCACTCCTTTAGCATGTCTATAAAAGCCCTCTAATGTCAAAGGGGAGGGTGGAGTGAGGGAGTGGGCCTGTGGGCAATATTGAGGTTCCTTGGCTGACTTGGGGCAGGACATCTGGACTTCCCCCATGCCTGGGAGTTAGGGGAGGGTGGAGGCAGACTGCCTGGGTAATGCTCATCCCTCTGTCCTGTCCCAGGTGAGGAGCTGTACTCTGGGGTGGCCACTGACCTGATGGGCCGTGACTTCACCATCTTCCGCAGCCTGGGCCCACGCCCGTCCATCCGCACTGAGCAGCATGACTCCCGCTGGCTCAACGGTAAATGCTGAGGGCAGGGGGAGCTGCCCAGTTCTGCCCCTGCCCAGGGGGAAGGGCAGGATGAGTGGGGGTGAGTGGGGAGTGATGAAAGTTCAGTGGCTTAGGGTCTACTGGGAACACGAGTCTGCTGCTGCTGTGGGGTGCAGTGTACTGTGCACAGGACCTGGGCTCGGGAGGCCTTGTCATGGTGGTGGCAGGAGGAAGATGAGTTCAGCTGCCTCAGCCTGGTGGCCACTGCAACCTGTTACTGAATCAGCATGTTTTCCCAGGAGTCTGATCCACCCTGCCCTAGGCCTGGTGCTGTGTGAGTGTTATAGACCCTGGACAAGTCAGAGTTAGGCTCTGAGTGCCTGTCAGTCTCTGTAGGTGATTTCCAAATCACAGCTTTGGAAGGTGGGGGGTGCCCACATCTACAGTAGCAGTGGCTGTGGGTCAGAAGTGAGGGATGCTGGCAGAGCTGGCTGTGGGGAGCCAAGACTGGAAAAGCAGGAGACTATGGCTCAGGATTGAGGGGCTGCAACAGGGTGCATGGAGACACTTGCTCAACACATATCTGTGTGGCTTTAGATAATAAACCTGTCCTCCTGCAAGGGCCTCACTGCCCCTGAGGGAGGCTTGTTCTAGCATGACAAGCTCCAAGAGTGGAGCAGAGCCCTTGCCCCCAGCATTGCCTTATCTTCCCCTCAGAGCCTCATCCCCTGGGAGTTGCTCCCTGAGCTGTACTTCACTTCAAAGAGCTCCTCACATGGCTGCAGGGCATAAGCTGCCCTTGGGCTCTGCCCAGATCCTGCTCTGTCTTTCTGCCCTGCAGGATGACACCATTGCCTGGAAACGGGCCTTGTTGAAGAGCAGCAGTGTCTCCTGAGAGCGTGGGGCTGAGGCAGGAACCTCTCACCCCAGGACTTCACTGACCAGGGCCACTTGAGAGCACCAAAGAAGCCCATGGTGCTGTCTGAGATGGTTACTGGGTTCAATGGGCGGCATCCCACAGCCTCAGCTCTGTAGGGTCAGGCAAAATGACCAGAGTGGGCCCAGCTACCCTCATGAGATAAAGGCATGAGCAAGGAGAGTGGTTTAACCACCACTGGTCAAGGGTGCTGGTCGTTTGGGGAAGTGGTTGACCTCTACCCAGGAGAGACCAGGGCTGAAACAGTTGGAGGCTGCAGGTCCAAACTGAGGGGCATTGGCAGGGCTGTGTGGCAGAAGGCAACCTGGAGTTGGGGGGATATAGCATTGGCTTGCTAGTTGTGCTGAGAAGCACCACCTGTCTACACAGGTCCTGTTATCCTTTATCTCTGACTGCCTCTTGGGGCTGTGCTGTTAAATCCATCATGGCAGTCTGTGGGTTTGTGCTACCATCTAGTGGAGCAAGTGTGTGGGGCACCCTCTGCACCAGCTCAGAGCTGGCCGTAGTCAGGACTGGGGGGCTTTTTAAAACTGCAGTTTATACTCTGAAATGCAACCTGAAGGAGCAAAGCAATTCATACATCCAGGTCAAATGTGGCAATCGTTTTAGTAAAAAATGTAAAAAGAATTTTGCAAGAATTGAAACGATCTGATTTTTCTTTTTAAAATGTTTCAAGACCAATCAGCTCATTTGACTTTTGGAAAAATAAGTGAAACAAAAGGGGAAAACCTGCATTTTGTTAAGTGCAAAATGCTGATATTCTTTCTTGAGTTTTTATATCAACCACCAAGCTACAAACATGGAAATTCACCCAGTCAAGCTGTGGTGACATCTGCAGCATGGGCAGGGGGGTTATCCTGCAAGGCAGAGTGGCTCAGCTGCAGATGGCCATACAGTTTGCCATTGGCTTTCCTGCTCTGCCACTTTAAGGCCTCAGCCCCCTAACTGGTGACGGGTCATCCTTTTTGGTGGGGTAGGAGGAGCCCTGCTGCCTCATCCTAATCCTGCTTCTCCTTGTGAATGACTTGAGTCTGAAGTGATGAGTGATCAGGGGCCTTGGAAGCATTAGACTGAGGACTAGTTTGCACTTCTGAGAAAGCAGTAGGTGGAGAGAGAGTGGAGGGGGGCTGGGGTTCAGGACTCCTGGGTCCCATTCCTAGCTCTACCACTGATTCTTTATTCATCTTTTGACAAGTCATCCTTTACATCTCAGAGGGTGTGTTGTAATGCCCCATCGCTGGGCTGGCATGGCACTGAGCAGTTCACCTGCAGAGGGTACTGTAGAAGAGCTGAGCTCAGCCCATGTTTTCCTGTCTGGGCAGGGATCACACATGCCTGGCACCCACCTGACATGTCATGCCCTGTTCTGTCTTCCCAGAGCCCAAATTTGTGGATGTGTTCTGGATCCCTGAGAGTGAGAATCCTGATGATGACAAGATCTACTTCTTCTTCCGGGAGACAGCGGTGGAGGGGCAGCAGGGGCTGGGCAAGTCCAGCTTTGCCCGCATCGGCCAGATCTGCAGGGTGAGAGCTCCCCACCCCACTCAGGATCTTGGGGAAAGCTCCTGTCACCAAGTATCTGAGGGGAAGGAGATGCTAAGATCTTCAATGCTGGGCCTGAGCTTGGACTGGAGCCCAGCCTGGCACCTTGGCAGGACCTCTGCCAGCTGAGCCTGGGGGTCCCCCTAGGCTGTGCTTGCAAGCCACGTGTCAGGACCAGCTCATGCAGGGTTTCTTGTCCCTGACCAGTGGGGCCAGGCTGGAGGCAGCACAGTTCTGGAGGTAGGAGAGCATCTGTCTCCCATCTTGCCCAGGATCCTGCCCAGCTTCCCCTGGGGTTCTGAGGTGATGGTGGGTGTTGTCCGTGTGTGCCAGGAGCCCCAGAGAGCAGCCATGTTGCTCCAGGGCAGAGGTAGAGTGTGACCTACAGCAGGGCTTGCTAGGGCATGACAGGCCTAGCAAGCCCTGCTGATCCTGACCCTTCCCATGAGCCCCCTGCCTCACCCTGGGAAATGCAAAGGGACTGTGCTCAGACCCTGCCCTTCTCCCCCGACACAGAATGACATGGGTGGGCAGCGGAGCCTAGTGAACAAGTGGACAACATTCCTGAAGGCCCGGCTGGTGTGCTCTGTGCCAGGCAGTGATGGAAGCGACACCTACTTTGATGAGCTGCGTGAGTGCTGCTGGGACCTGTGTGAGCAGGAGGTGGTGCGGTGGAAGTTGAGCACTCTGGGCTTGGGCTGAGGGAACTGAGGAGATGGGGACAGCCACTGAGTGTCCCAGGGGTGGAGGGAGTTTGGAGCTGCCACTGAATGCCTGGTGATGATGCCGGGGGGGGACAGAGGGTGGGGGTGGAAAATGTGGCCCAAGCCAATAGGTGACACAGGATGTGCTGGGGCCAGTCAGCGATGTTGTCCATCCCTCCCTACCCACCCACAGGTGACGTCTTCCTGTTGCAGACCAAGGACAAGCGCAACCCCCTGCTTTATGCCGTCTTTTCCACTTCCAGGTACAGGATCAGGGAAGGCCTGCCCCACTCCCCCTGCAATATAGCCCTTCTCCAGGAAGCACTGGGCAGTTCTCAGTAGAGGACTTTCTACAAGAGCTGCCCAGGAGCTGCCATCTCTCCTAACATCTCCCCCCATGTCTCTGTTTGCTCCCCCCTTTCCCTTGTGTCCTTTGCCCTACACCCTGTCATAATTTTGCCATTGCTGTATGCCCACAGCTCAGTGTTCAAGGGCTCCGCTGTTTGCCTGTACACCATGCATGACATCCGCAGAGCCTTCCTGGGACCCTTCGCACACAAGGAGGGCCCCAACTACCAGTGGGTGTCCTACCAAAGCCGCGTGCCATACCCCCGCCCTGGAATGGTATGTATGTGCTGGAGGGACCCATCGTGCTGGGACTGGGGATGGAAATGGGAAGGGAGGGTTGGGAAGTATTGCCTGGGGACAGGTCTTCCTCCTCCTCTTCTGCCAGATGGGGTAAAACCCCATGGCCAGGAGAGATCCAGGGCAGTGGACTCTGTGGCAGGACCAGATTGGGATGTCTCCAGCTATACCCAGGGCCTCACCCAGAGCCTGATGTCCCAGTACTCCGGCCTGTAGGATGTTAGGGAGCAATCCGTCCCCATCCCTACCATTGTCCCTTGGCTCTGGCTAGGGGAAATGCCTCCCTGTCCTGTTCAGAGGCCTATTGGGCAGAGGAGCAGTGAGAGGCTGGCATCACAGCCTTCAGCCAACATGTGGCCAGATCATAAGACAAGTAGCCTGGTCCTAGCATCCCAAAGGGATAAGGGCATGGAAGGAGGCCTTGCCAGGGGCCTGGTCTAAGGTTAGGATTGAGCTGTTTGTCCAAGTCCTGCAAGAAGTTCAGAGGACATGTCCTTACAGCAAAGCTACCACCATCCAACTGGGAGAGTCCCCTTGAAGCTTGAGTCTGAAGGGCTGTGGGCTGGGAGTGAGGGCACCAGGAGAGGTAGGGGGAACCCAGGGATTGGATAGCAGGGGGCTGCAGGTCAGGACTGTGGGCCAGGGCTGTGGGAGGAGGCCAGGGTTGGGACCCAGGGGCTTGTGGGTTGGGCATGTGTCTGATCAATACCAATGTCCCCATCCTGCCCTTATTCACTCAGCCCTCTGCCCCTGTAGTGCCCCAGCAAAACCTTTGGCACCTTCAGCTCCACCAAGGATTTCCCCGACGATGTGATCCAGTTTGCTCGCAACCACCCACTCATGTACAACCCCGTGCTGCCCCATGGCCAGCGGCCTGTCTTCCTGCAGACCAACGTAGACCACACCTTCACCCGCATTGCTGTGGACCGGGTGACTGCTGCTGATGGGCATTATGATGTCCTTTTCATTGGCACAGGTACATCTATGTCACGCCATCAAGAGGTGCCAGGCCCTGCTGGGCTGGAATTTGCATTGCCCAGCCTAAAGCCAGGGTTTCCCTCAGCCCAACGTGGCCTAAATGCAGTGAGGAGCACCAGCCTGCCTGGATGATCCTGTGCAGGGGGGGCATTTGGATTTCTGGCTTGCAGATATTCTGAGCCCAGTCATCCTATACAGACCCTGTTACACTGTGGCTCTATTGATCAAGACTCAGGACACCTGGGGCTGTTCCTCATTCTGCCATGGGCCTACAGTGCACATTGCCTGGCCCTTCTATGCCTTGACTTTCCCCATCCATACAATGAGGGATGCTACTACTTATTCCCCTTGGTAAAATACACAGAGGTCTAGGAATTATAGGAACCCAGGACCATTTGCTGATAGATCCAATGGGACACCAAGGCTGACTTTCACCGTGTGGGCTTCCACGGGGCTTTCAGGTGCCTTGGAAAGCCACAGCCTTTCTCTTGGGCTTGACCTTGGCCAGCTGTTGGCCTGTCTCTGCCCCACTGATCAGGCCTGAGCCTCCACCCAGATCCTCTCAGGGAAGGGAGAGCCTCAAGCAAAGGTTTTGCTCTGCCCTGTCACATCTTTCCCTCCTCCCTCCCTTGCAGATGTGGGCACAGTGCTTAAGGTGATCTCTGTGCACAAGGAGAGCTGGCAAAATATGGAGGAATTGCTGCTGGAGGATCTTCAGGTGTTCAAGGTAAGAAAGGTGGGGTGGGGACAGTCCAGGAGTCTATCCTCACTGGCACTCCTCCCCTCCCCCCCTTTTCCTTAGTATCTATCTACAGGCAATCTACTGTGTGTACTACAACAATCTTGTCTCTGCACCAGGGATCATGCCCACGTAAGCTGGGATCCATATCCCTCCTCCCCTTCAAACTGTGTCTGTCATGTTGAGCCAGTCCCACCAGACTGTCCCACTGAGCAAGGCCACCACTAAGGTTGCCCTCCTCTTTGCCTAGACCAGTGTTTCCAACCTTTTTCTCCCCACAGCACGCTTACCTAAATAAAAAAGAACCATGGCACACTGGACAGCAGCAACAGGCAGGGGGAGTGGCTCCAGCCAGGCAGGGGGTGTTGCTCCAGCCCAAAATGCCTGGCACACCAGTGTGCTGCAGCACACCAGTTGGGAAACACTGGCCTAGACAGTAGAGCTCCTTTGGGACAGGGCAGGTGTAGTGCCAGAGGCACGTGTCCCTGTCCATGCCTCTGCCCATGCCCTACCCAGCCATGACTACCAGTGCATTTTAAGCAGCTGTACTAACATGGCTTTGCCAACCTGGCTATTGGCACTCAACAGCTGGAGCATAGAACTGGAGCTCCTGGGCTCCAGCCACACAATGCTGGGTGAACCACAGTGCCTCACCCATGAAAGGGAACATCTGCCCCTTGGAAAGATGCTGAGATATTCCCTGTGCATGGCTCTACAAGCAGGCAAAACATCATGGACAGACTGTGCCCATAAGCCAGGAACCCCCTGGCTTCAAATAGCCTTCATCTTGAAATGCGCCCTCTGCTGTTGTTTCTCTCTCAATAGGATTCGTCCCCTGTCACCAGCATGCAGATCTCATCCAAGCGGGTAAGGAGCAAAGGACAGTGGCTGTGCTGTATGGGAGGAGGCTACAGGCAGGTCTGGTGTTGTGGCCATGGACAGCTCCATGCCACTGTGCCAACCCCAGCAAGACCATGGGCTGCTGGTGGAGATCAGAGGGCAAGTGCTGGAATCCTTGTGTGCCACTACAGCCCCTGGCACAATGGGACCCTCTACTGGTTGCTGTCAACAGATAAATAGGGGTGGGTACTGCTCTGGGACACTGGTGTGTTCCACACCCAGGGCACAGTGGCAGGAGGAAGCACAGGGTTGTTGGCTGGTGAGTGCTTGGGGCTGCTGCGGCAAGGCCAAGAGCACACAGCGCATGTTGGCCCTGAGTTGTTGGCAGCAGGCCTGGAACTGCTAGGGATGGGGTAGTGGGTCTTGGGCCATGCCACCCAAGGTGCCAGGGGGCCCCCTCATTTGCACCCTTCCCAGAGAGAGAACCGAGGGCATGGAGATAGCCCTCGGCTGACTAGCAGGCAGGGGTCTCAGCAAAGCAGAGGTTTTTCGCTGGCACAGGCATCCAGAGGCCACTTTGCCCAACACTAAGCTAAATTGAAATATCCCTTGGGTCTCCTGACTCCCACTGCACCCAGATGCCCCTTACTATCCCCCATTCTTGTTGCCCAGGATTCTGCTATGGCAGAAACAGGCTGGGCCTGACCCAGTCTAATCCTACAATCCTCCCAGACTCCCTACATGAGTTGTCTCCCACAGCCACATGCCATGTGGATGGGACTCCACAACGACAGATTTAGCCCTTCCTATCTCCAGGCTGGACACCTCCCCAGCCATGGGCATCACCTTGGTAATAAGCCTGTGGCTTACGTAGCCCCCTTGGTTTGTCCTCATCCTCCATGAATGCAAAGGCCCTAGTTACCTGGTTCTGCGCACCCCTGTCTCAGCCCCTCACTGTCGCAACACTCCCTCAGCAACAGCTCTACCTCGGCTCCAGGACGTCCATTTCCCAGCTGCCCTTGCACCGCTGCGGGATCTATGGGAAAGCCTGCGCAGAGTGCTGCCTGGCCAGAGACCCCTACTGTGCCTGGGATGGCACCACCTGCACTCGCTACATGCCCAATACTAAGAGGTACAGACCCTTTACCTCCGGCCAGGGCACTAGAGCCACACCTAGTTCTGATGTCCCCTGGGTGGGATTAGTGCTGAGACCAGCAGGACCTGGGCTGCAGGGCTGTACTGCCGTGACTGCCCACTGGAAACGCTTGTGAGAGGCACCTGGGTAGTTACAGCTGGGTGCCTAGCTGGGTACTGGTTTGGTCAGAATCTCACATGGGGAAGTACTGCTAAGCTAAGGCATCATGCTTCGAGCTTATGCTGGCATGATCCAGACCAAGGGGTGATAGCCTGTGGCTCTGGCACCAGCTTGGACCCAGAGATTCACGGCCAGTTCCCAGCTCTGCCACAGACCTTGAATATGCTCTTGGGCAAATCATGTTGCTTCTCTGTGCCTCAGTTCCCCATCCACTCAGTGAAGACAATAGCATTTCCCTGCTGTTAAAAATATAAGAACATGAGAACTGCCTTTTACTGGGATGGACCACAGATCCATCTTGCCCGGTATCTTGTGTCACGCAGTGGCAGAGAGTGGATGTTGAAGGGGAGAGTGAACAGGGTATGAAAAAGGCTTTTCCACTGTTCCTTTCCCACTTGCTGCTTCCAGCGTTTAAGGTCCAGGAAGTTGTGGAGATATTGTAAGATTAAATGCCTCAGGTGATGAAATGCCTGGGTACCTGGTGATGGGCACCACAGAAGGGCCTCAGGTCCCAGATGAAGGCATCTGGCATGGTATGTGCCTGGCATGGCTGCCTCCTCTGTGTGAAACTAAGGCCTCTCCCTGAGGAAACCATGAGCTAGATATTATGTCACAATGCTCCTCACTACTGGGAGACCTGCTGATGCTGAGAGATATGTGCCTCCGTGCTCTTCAACTGACCACGTGCCCGACACTCTCAGCTATGAGCCAGCAGCACTGGGGGTCCCTGGCAGCTGTTGGGCTCAGTAAGGTACTGAGATGACTTCTATATAGTCCTTGTGAGCTTCAGATCAAGGGTGGCTGTCTCTCCACTTCCCAAAGACCCAGCAGCTCACACTGCCTCAGGTCCTGACCCCTCTGCTGCTCTCCCTCTACAGGCGTTTTCGGCGGCAGGATGTCAGGAACGGGGACCCCAACATGTTATGCTCAGAAGGTTAGTTCAGCTCTTGATGTCCTTGGTATCCCAGCTCAGTGCTTATTCCAGCCAGAATTTCATCCTGCCTCATTTGCTCCACCCACATAAAGCAGCCCCACAGCTGCCCCCTCATGTTCCTTCATGGCAGGATATTCCCCCTGTTTATACTTCCCCAGGGCAGAAATAGCCAGCAATGATGGCCATGGCTATCACCCCACCCTTGCTCCCTGGGTGCACACCTGGGTGCACTGGCTTATGTCCAACCCATGCCCCCACCACCCCATGTGTTGGCTTGTGCCTTCCCTGTGGTTCTGCCTGCCCAGTGCAACTGCTTATACCCGCCCCAAGGCCCATCCTCCCCAGGCTCACACTTCTGGTGGGCCTTGTCTGACAGATCCTCACCGCAGCAGTGTGCTGGAGAAGAAGCTATATGGGGTCGAGGGCAGCAGCACCTTCCTGGAATGTGTACCCAAGTCCCTGCAGGCCCAGGTGGTGTGGACCTACCAGAAAGCAAGTGACACCCCGAAGAAGGAGGTAAGGGGCCCTCTGCACCCAGGAACCAGGCTGCTGAGCCAGACTTCCCTGGCTCCCAGTGATTCATAGATTCATAGATTGTAGAGTCGGAAGGGACCACAATGGATCTTCATGTCCAACCTCCTGCCCCTGGCAGGAAAGAGGACCGAGGTCAGATGACCCCAGCCAGGTGACTACCTCTTGAAGACCTCCAAGCTAGGTGATAGCACCACCTCTCTTGGAAGCCCATTCCAGATCCTGTCCACCCTTACTGTGAAAAATGTCTTCCTAATATCTAACCTAAATCCACTCTCAACTAGTTTACACCCGTTATTCCTAGTCACTCCCTGGGGCGCCTTAGTAAACAGCACTTCCCCTATTCCCCGTTGACCTCCCCTAATAAATTTATAGGCGGCCACAAGATCTCCCCTCAGCCGTCTCTTGTGAAGGCTGAAGAGATTCAGCTCTCTCAACCTCCCCCTGGAGGGTCTATCACAAAGGCCACTAATCATGCGAGTGGCCCTCCTCTGGACCCTCTCGAGATTCCCTGCATCCCTCTTAAAGTGCGGCACCCAAAACTGGATGCAGTACTCCAACTGCGGCCTGACCAGTGCCGCATGATACCAGGGAAAGGTTGGGGGAATCAAGTCAACCAAGTGAAGACTGACTGATGCCAGGAAACACAGGCAGCATTTTTGCTTCTAGGGCCATGTGCCCTTCCAAAGAGGTCCCAGACCTTCCAGCCTCCCACCACAGATGCTCCACTGCTGCCTTGCCCAGTCACCAATGTGGTGCACAATGCCATGTCACCTGGCCATACCCTCCCCCTTCCCCACAGATCCTGACCCCTTCCAGGTACAGAAAATTCAGTGATCCCCCTGATAGAAAACATGCTGTTCTTAAGCTCCCCTTCCCCAGAGCAGGCATGCCTAGTCCAGCCCTCCCATCAGCTGCATTAACACTCCTGGCTTTCCCTTCTTCCTGCCAGTGCAGGGCAAATCTCAAACCCTAACCAGGCTCTTGGGCATCTCATCATGTTGTTCCTCTGACCCACCACCACCCAGCAGCCCTGGCCATGCCTGTGTATATGAGCACTGAACTATGCAGCCCATGCCAAGAGGTCAGTGCCAGGTGCTGCCCTTTGGATCATGCCCAAGTGCCTAGTGCCTCCTAACCCAGCTTCCCCCAGAAACCTGCCTCCTCTCCAGTTCCACCCCCAAGCCCTTGGCCTGGTCTCCTCATGTCTGCAGGTTCAGCTGGATGAGCGGGTGGTGAAGACTGACCGAGGGATCCTTATCCGTAGTGTCCTGCACAAGGACACTGGGCTGTACCACTGCCATGCCACAGAGCACGGCTTCACCCAGAGCCTGCTGCGTCTCTCATTGGAGGTGATTGGTGCACAGCAGGCTGACTCGCTGTCCTATTCCTGGGAGGAGGAGCCCTCAGAGCCTGCCAGCCACAAGCTGTGGTACCGGGACTTCCTGCAGCTGGTGGACCACCCCAACCTGAGCACGGTTGACCAGCTTTGCCAGCAGTTGTGGAGCCGCAAGAGCCACCAGCCCAAAAAGAAGCCCCCACTGCCCCCACCCCTGAGTGTCAAGGCCAAAAACCACAAGTGGAAGCACCTGGAGGAGAAGCGCAAAGCCCGCAGCCGGCGGACTCATGAGGTGCCTCGAGCAGAGAGAGGACCCCGCAGCGCTGCCGTGTGGTGACCCACTGGGGCCAGGAGAGCACAGCCAGACTTCTGTTAGGAGGTGGGG